CTTTCCCACAGACACAGCCGATAGTACAAACTGAAGGGGCGTGCTGTGGGGAGAGCCTTCCGGACTCAGCCACAAACGGAGGCATCCATTTTAATCCCACAGAGAGCAGGCTCTAACCCTCACCCAGGACGTCCCCATCCTCACCTCCCGTCAGCTTCTCAGGCTCTCGTCCAAAGACGCATTTTCTCAGTCACTTGGGTGGGCCGGGGTCTAAGCAAGGTGCAGGGACCACAAACAGGAAGGGGGTCTTGGGCTGGTCTGTTCTGCTCACTCAGCATTCTTGTCCTTTTGTCTTCCCGCTCAGTCCTCCCTCACCCCACACCCCTGCTCCTATCCCTTTCCAGCCCCCAAAACCCTGATGCATCTGGATTCCCACAGAATCAGTCACTCGGCAGAGCAGAGGTCGGCGAGGGGATGGCCTTTCCCATCCTTTTTGTTCTAGTCCAGCAGCCTGGCCTAATATCTTTGCTATCTTAGGTGATAGGCATTAGGAACCGGCTGCCAAGCGAGAAGCTGAGTGGGAAATTCAGTGTAGGGAGGGTTTTTTGTTTATTTCTGATAGGAAGTTAGGAATTACCCAAGAGCACTGGCTGTGTTTCCAGCTGATGGCCTTGTGTTCAGCTCTGGGATGAAAGTGCTCCCGCTGACTTCCACATCCTCTGCCACCGGCTTTATTGATGACAGCTGCAGATGACCAGGGTGAGCGCTGGCTTTCTGCCTGCTTGGCTCTGAGCTAGAGTGCTTGCTTGAATGAAATCAAGTGGCTGGCACCCAGATCTGCTGAGTGACTTCGGAAGACATGCTCACTGGAGTCAGATATCATTCAAGGTCCTTGGAGGAAGTTCTACCTACCATAATTCATAGGGCGCGGGGGTGAAGCTGGGCCCCAACATCCCAGTGACAATGGCTGCAGGGCCAAGACTGAGACACCAACTTGCAACTTGGGAAGATCATGCCCCAGGACAAGAGCTCGTATTAGTATTAATGCCTGCCACCTTCATGGAGACCGTACAGTGCAGTATTAAGACTGTGGGCGCAGGTCAGACTGCCTGGACTCAGAGCCTCACTCTGATACTTGTGAGCTTAACAAGTATCATGGGGGAAGTTACTTACCTCCTCTGTGCCTGGGTTGTCTCATGAGTAAAATGGGGATAACCAAGGTGCCTACTTTATAGAGCGGTTGTGAGGATTAACTGAGTGAGGATTCACAAAGCACCGATAACAATGCCTACCATTTGGCAAGTGCTCAATTACTGGCAATTATTTTATTTTTTAATTTAATACTCATGAGGACACTGTAAGAAATGCATATTGGGACCAGCAGTTAGCGTAATGGCTATGTCGCTGGACTCCCACGTAGTCGACTGTGGTTCGCATCCCGGACCCGATGGCTTAAAACTCACGTGTGCGTGCATGCCCAAGATCTCGAGAGGAGGATGGAGGAGAAAGGATTGCGGCGTGGCCATCCCCCCTGGGGGTGATTTCTCGCTTTCTTTCTCTCTGTCTCTCTCTGTCTGTTGAGCGCACGCGCCCAATAGCAAAAAAAACCTCTCTCTAAAAAAAAAGAAAGAAATGCATATTAACAGATTAAAAACTAGCTTTGAAGATGTTAAATGACTTGTGCAAGTAATCCAGATGGTACATGACAGAGCTCTGATTTAATTTTTTTAAAGTTTGTTTATTCCATAAGTGGAAGGAAGATTGAGATACGAAGACAATGCAAGAAAATATGAAGAAAATTGTTGAAATGCCACCTCTTTCATAATAGAATTAGAAAGAAAATGAGTAATTCTGCTTAACTTCATAAACCTTTTCTCATCTACCCAGCAGTCCCAACATGCAATCCACCCCAGCCTCGGCCAGCCCTTATGCCTAGTATACCCAGGGAGGTCTTCAGATGCGACCTGGTAACCTTCCTGTGGGACAGCCTCGCAGAGCTTTGCTCTTTACTGATGGATGAAGGTCCGGCCCCTAGAGCCCTGTTTTAAATCAGGGCCTGTGTACCTGCCTCCTTACCAAGTTTCTTCCGTGTAGTAAAGAACAGAGCTGTCCAGGGCTGGCTATTCTAACCAGTATTCCCACCCTCTAGGATGTCCTTTTAACTTTACCCAGGGCACTAGAGAAGGAGAAGTGGGTGTTGCAGGGTGTCCGAGTGACGACATCTTTTCAGAAGAGCAATCTGCCAACCAGAAGATTTATAAGTGGGAAGATTTAATTAAGGTGAGAAATAATATGTTTGCTAGATTTGCCTCCTGCTATAATCCAGTGAGCTCCTTGGAGTGAAACTTGAACAGAGGTGTTCCTGTAACTACCAAAGCTTAGCCGTTCAGTTCATAGCCTCGGCTTCTGTTACCCATCCCAGTAATCTCTTGGAAGCCCCTTTAGGAAGAAAGCATCTATACAGACGGTCCCTAACTACGAATGTTCAGCTTACAATGTTTTGTGAAGTGATTGGCATTCAGTAGAAGCTACCCTTCAAGTACTTGTACAATCACTCTGTTTTTCACTTTCAGACCAGTATTCAATAAATTACATGAAATACTAAAGATTTTATTATAAAATAGGTTTTGTTTTAGAAAATTTTGCCCATTTGTAGACTAACATGAAATGTTCTGGACATGTTTAAGGTTGGCTGGGCTAAAGCTGATAGGTTAGGTTTTTGTTTTTTTTTTTTTTCTTCTTTTTTTTCAAGGCTTTTGCTGTAGGGCATGAGCATTCTCCGGAGATAAGGCTTTTGCTGTAGGGCATGAGCATTCTCCAGAGATAAAGTGAGAAATTACCCCCCAGGGAGATGGCCATGCCACAATGCCTTCTCCTCTATTCTCCTGGGATTTGGGGTGCACATGCGCGTGCACACACACACACACACACTCCCTGCATACACTTGCCCGGCACAACTTTCAAGCTGCCAGGTCTGGTATTTGAACTACAGTCAGCCACATGGGAATCCAGCACCATAACCACTATGCCACCTGCTGGCCCCTATAGGTTAGGTGCATTAAATGCATTTTCAACTCACAAATAGGTTTATCGGGATGTGACCCCATCATGGGTAGACGAGCATCTCCAGTTTTAAGCTTAAAGCAGAAGACTCTGGTTTGGTGTGGTTGACAAGGTGCTAATGGTTTCTAATAGTCTCTCAGATCTCAGTCAAGTGTTCCTCACATGCGCTGTCATTAAAACCCTTACTCCCACAGGACTATGGTGATCTCTCCATTTTGTCTCCATTTTCTCTAAAAACCCTTACTCCCACAGGACTATGGTGATCTTCTCTCCATTTTGTCTCCATTTTCTATATTTGTTTCAAACACATAGGTCTACATCTCCTAGAAGCAGTCGCCTTTCTTTTTTTTTTAAAAAAAATTATCTTATTTAACTTTATTTATTTATTTTGTTTTAATTTGATCAGAGAGGGACAGAATGTGTGTGTGAGAGAGAGAGAGTGAGAGAGAGAGAGGGAAAGTGAGAAAGCAAGTCTCAAGGCCAGGACTTGAACTGTGGTCGGCCATGTGGGAGTCCAGCACCCTTAACCACCATGCCACCTGTAGGCCCTGCAGTTTTCTATCTATACAGATTCCATCCCTGTCATCTACTTTTGGTGAAAAAAAAAAAAAAACTTCATGAAATCAAATTAGACTGCAACTAAACTCTCCAGTACTCAAAAATCTTGTGTATAAAAACACTGACAAGATCATTCTAGGTTTCTGCTTAAGTAGATTATTTTACCAATTGAACAGGGAGCTGTTTTTGCAAACCTACTATTTAGAAAACAAACAACAAAACCTACATGTAGCTATTTCAGAAATGCTACCACACAGAAAAGAAATCCTCTTGCCAAAATGCCACCATATAAAGAAGGCAATTGAAGAAAATGCACTTGCTGAAATGCCACCTCCTTCATAATAGAATTAGAAAGAAAACGAGTATTCTATTTAACTTCATAAACTTTTCAAGTCATTTATTTTTAAAAATGCAACCTATTTTATAAAATTATATGTACTAAATCATAGGCTGTCAAATTTCTTTATTTAATGATAATAAAATATTATTTGATTAGTGTTTGGTGTCAGAAAAAAACTGGGTATGTGCTAAATTGAAAATAGGCAAGAGATTACCAGGTTGGACAACAGAAACCCCTGTTCTTAACACCAGGGGCTATATTTGTAATTTACTGCTGCATAACAATTACCCCAACCTTTAATGGCTTTAAACAATAGCAATCATTTATTGTCTGTCACAATTTCCATGAGTCAGGAATGCAGTCCTGGCTTATGATGTTGTCGTCAGATGTCTGCCAGGACTACGTTCACCAGAGGCTTAACTGGGACTGTAGGATCTGTTCACAAGGTGGCCTGCTCATTTGGCCGGTAAGCTGGTGTTGGGTGTTGCAGGAAGCCTCAGTTCTTCTCCATATATGCCTCTCCATGGGCTGCTTGACTATGCTCAAAGTATGGAGGCAGCCAGCCCCCCAGAGCAATCCAAGAGACAGAGGTGAAACCTACAGTGCCATTTGTCATCTCTACTTCCCCTCTACCATACTGAATTGGTCACACAGGCCAACTACGACTCAGCATGGGAAGAAACTACACAAGGGCATAAATGCCACAAACAAGAATCACTGGGGTCACCTTAGAAGAGGGTCATCACAGGTTGCTCTAACATCAATCTTTTCTAAGAAGTCTGCTATCTTTCAGTTTGTGTGGGGTATTCCTTTCTCATTACTACTACTCAACTTGAGTCATCACCCCACGAAGAGCTTTTGCTTTCAGTTAGAGATGCCCAGAAATTTAGGGGTGAAGAGCACTATAGCAATCACCTATCCCAATTCCAAACGCCTCTTGAGAGAGAGTTTGCTATGATGCCCTGTTCAAGTGTTCCTGTCCTCTAGCACACAGCAAGCTCCACAAGGACAGGGACCATGTCTTATTTTCATGAGTTCCCAGTGAGCAGCAAGAAGCCGGTAAAGGTGCCACAAATGCTGATTGTAGTGTTTCACTTACCTCGGACGAATCATTTTCATTTTCTGGATCTCGCCTTTCTTGTTTGTATCGGGTTGGATCATTTTCAAGCCACTTGCAAATTTCTCACATACATAGCTCTTTTTCCCCCTAGTAGAACAGGGTAATGTGGCATGATGTCTCTTCACCACTTCCTGGAAGCATCTCCTTTAGGTCTGGGACACAAGGAGCCCTCTGGCACTTGTACTGTGGAAGCAAAGATAGCTTATAGTAGTACCTTACAAGGCCATGATAGAACAAATTGTCATCCGTGGGTTTGGTTTTTGAGTTGAGAACAGTTCAAGAACATTTCCAAGCTGCGTTGTGGGAAGGAAAAAGAGGAATGACAATTAAAAACAGATACTACCTGACTCTATGAATTAATCTGATCGCTATTCCTGTTTAAAAATCCCTTTGGCTCCCTACTGCCAAAAGCACAAAACTCAACTTCATTGGTGTGTATCCAGGGCTTTGGCTTCAAACCATCTTCTCCTCATGGATTCCTTGCTCCAGGTAAACTGCACAAAGGCCGTACCCTGTCAGGGCTCAGTTTTCTTTTATCTATGATCATTCTTTACCTTGACGTGGCCTTGCCAAACAAAATCTAGACTAGGCTAGTACTCTCCAAAGATCTCTCAAACAGCATAAGTTCTTTCTCAAAGATCCTGCAAGTTGAGTGGAAGCTGTTTTGGAAGTCATGCTCCCAAGAGATCATTGAAATTAAAGCTACCAACAAGAGGGCTGCTTCATGGTGCCGTGGGAATGTGCTGCTCAAAGGAAGCCAGATCCCACATGGCAACTGTGGTTCAAGTCCCCTGCCCATAGCCTGAAACAGGTTGGGGAAGCTCACAAGTGCCCAGAATCCAACAGGCTGGAGAACCGGAGGAAGGGGGTCGCAGTGTGACCAGACTGTGGAGGGTTCTTCTCTCTTTTTCTTGTGCGTGCACATACACACTATCAACTCGATCATAAAACAACAGCAACAACAAAACCCCCAAAACTATCAAGATGCCATATATTATGCTATGTGTTAAAAAAATAAAAAAGAAGAAGAAGAAGTTGGGACCAGTAGTTAGCATAATGGCTATGTTGCCGGACTCCCATGTAGTTGGCCACGGTTCGCGTCCCGGACCCTGTGGCTTAAACTCACGCCGGGCACGTGTGCGTGCATGCCCAAGATCCTGGGAGGAGAATGGAGGAGAAGGGATTGTGGCATGGTCATCCCCCCTGGGGGGGTGATTTCTCGCTTTTTGTCTCTCTGTTTCTGTCTGTCTGGCGAGCACACGTGCCCTATAGCAAAAACCTCTCCAGAAAAAAAAAAAAAAGGTGTGTTGGGGCCAGCAGATGGCATAGCAGTTATGTTGCTGGATTCCCACATGGTCGAGTCCCAGACTTGATGAATTAAAAATCACGCTGGGTACATGTACATGAGTGCCCAAGATCCCTGGAAGAGAGTGGGGTGGAGAAGGGGTTGCAGAATGGCTATCTCCCTGGGGGTGGTGTGATTTCTCACTTTTCCTCTCACTCTGTTTCCCCTCCCCCAAGTGCACATGCCCTAATGCAAAATCCTCTAAACAAACAAAAATATGTATACAATAAGGAATTATAGACTACCGACCAAGTAATTGTGCCTTCTTGGAGTTTTATTTGATGTACCAAGTCAGATTAAAGAGGGAACTGAGCCTAAGAAAAGAAAAACAATTCTGGAGGTGACCCTTACCAGATCAGTGGGCTAGAAATACACGCAGAGGTTAATGCCCTATAAACAGCCCCAACTGCTCCATAAATCTCCCACATTATAGCTCAGTTTCCTCTGCTCTGGAGCATACAGCCTCTGCATTGGGACCTTCATAAATATAAATTCATTTTAACTCACCCAATAAGCCCATGCTCACTGTTAAAACGTGAGGAAAGTGCTGACAGGGCTTTTCCTCGAGGCTCTTGTCTAATTTGGCTCCAAGCAGGTGTTGTTTTCCCAGGCTAATTCCTGTGTTTGGAAAATGCTGCAGGGACTTTGCTAAGAGCACTCAATGAGCCAGGAAGGACAGACAAGCCCATACTTTCCAACTTACTCCTAAGTACACTGACCTCATTATTTGTCTATAATGTGAATAGGTATTTATTTAATGGGTCTCTTTATATAAAGATTACAAATTGGTCTGTGTGCTTGTCATCTCTCTGTCTACATTACTATTGTCTGTTTTTTCAAAAGGAGGGTTAAAGCTTAATGGTGGCAACAGTACAATATCAGGTTAAAAGCTTCCGGGGTATGGAGTGGGAGGGAATAGAGAGTGCAAGGAAGACCCACAGGTCTAACCTAGCCAGGCAGATTAGCCCGGGGCCTGAGAGCAGCAGACAGGTGCAACAACAGCTCCCACCATCTCTATCGTAGACTGCGGTTACCCAGTGGGTTTACATCCTGATCTTGTTCACCCTAGCAATGGCCCCCAGTATGTAGGCACTATTATTTCTACTTTACTGATTAGAAAAACAAAGGCTCAGAGCACAACGAGAGTCTTAGACAAATTAGAACTTAATGGCAAAATCATTTATTCCCAATGGAGCTTTGACAGTAGGTCAGCCCTAGGTAAATGGGGTGACCTGTCCTGAACTGTCCCGACATAGTATAACTAATAAATATCTCTAAAACTAGCTGACCTCAAGGGTAGTCGTATGGAGAAGACCACAGTGCTTTTCCAATAGGAGAACTGTACACTAGCAACAGGTGAGTGCAGGAGACAATCTGGGACCTTCCCTGCATCTGTCAAATCACAACACACAGACCACCCACCTGAAATGCATAATGACGGGGCTCCCACCACACGCACAGGAGCCAGAGTCCTGTGCCAAGCCAGAGGTAACTTGGGTTTCAAAGAGCCCCCAGGGGAAAGTTAGAAGCACCCAGGTCTTCCCTCTACTTTCTTTCTTGGGCATCTCTTATGAAACCTTCGTTTTTCCCACTGTACTGTTGATCACAAAGGGGGTCGAGCCTGAAGCCAGCAGAAACCCCATCCCTCCCCCCCCCCGGGGGGGGCTAAGCTGTCCCAGACCTCCCTCACTGACATGATTTATTGCCTTCATTAAACAGGATGCTCAGCCAAATGCAATGGGTTTTATGTCCTCCCCACAAGGAAATCCCCTTAGGAAGCAAGCTGCCATGGTGTCTGAGAGAAGAAAGAAACTACAAATGAAAGAGATTTGCCCAAACTGTACAGTATCTCTTTCCCCTTTCAGGCCTTCTCTAATTTTATTTTGAGCTGGGCCAAGACCCAGAGGCATTTCTTTTTAAAGCAATGATCTCCAGGGAACCATAGCTAGAAATCAGGCATGCACATGTCTGCTCTACCCAGCAGGTACACTCTTGTTGAATGGCTGGGGTCTCGGTGGGCCAGAGGTCTATGCGTGGCAGCAACTCTCTTTTGCACAAACAAAAAGACCCTTTTAGAAAGCCAGTGATAAAGTCTCCCAGATGGGCCCGTAATGGAGGGCCGAAGCAGACTCTAAGTAGCCTGCTGGTTTGCTCACGAGATGGTTAGTGGAGGAAAGAGGAGGCGATCCTGCCAGCCTGGCCATGCAGAGCAAGTTGACAGTCAGATCTAGCCTCTGTCTGCCTCTGAGGGGTTAGGTGCTTTGATGACAGATGATTTCACCCTTCAGCAAATTAACAAAGCCTCTGTCAACAGTGTCAGGGAGGGGAGCAGGATGGCCCACTGCTCAGTGGCTTCCAGAATTGCTTTGTCATACATAGGCCCTTCTGGTTATTCAGAAATCACCAAATGTTGGTTTCTCAGGCTGAAATATCTCATGCAAATTAAAGGTGGGTTATCAAGAGGCATTTATCTTCCTCCTACCTACTCATCATCTTTTTTCTCCTGAATTGACTCCCTCTATCCCCAGCACAATTAAATAAACATTCCAAAGTCTCTTGTTCCTTGAGAGGCAGAAGAAAGTGTCCTGGATTCTTACTCGTCTCTCCCAGGTGTTCATAACTGTGTAGTAGGGGAGGCATCTTCTTGCCTTACCCACCTGTTCATTGGTTTCCCCGTCTGAAAAGTGAGAACTTTAACACATCTTACTCTTAGGCATGTTTCTGAGAGAGTATGATAATATAAGTGAAAATGCTCAAAACTCTTAAGAAGATAGAACATTTATTCATTTATTCATAGTATTAGTGTGAGTCTCAAGGTTAGCTAGATGTCTCTGGAGTGACAGAAGACTGCGAATTTGATGAATAATTCAACAGAGGTCTAATGCTTCCTGCTCGTCCTAGGGAAAGGCAGCTGACAGTGGGTTAGCTCTTGGACTGGCAAGCATGTGGGACAGGAGGATTGTGAGAGCATCCAACTTGCTGATGGGAAGGGGAACAGAAAGGGGTGGGCAGCAGTGGCCACTTCTAGGATGGGCACAGAAAGGGGTGGGCAGCAGTGGCCACCAGCCTGGGCCCAAAGGAGCCTGGGTGTCATGCCTGTCTGGGAGCTGAGATGCACCGGGCTAAGCTGCTACACGGCCGTGCTCAGTTCAGGTCCCTCACCCTAACCCACGCACTCCCTCCACCCTTCCAAGATGACTTTTGGAGCGAACATTTGCAAACACTAGATGTAAAGTTCCTAATCCCTACATGGGTTGTTTAGGTTCTTAAAAAGAACACTAATACCTTTTCCTGAATGGAGTGGTTTTTCTCAGAGCAGCAGAAAGGGAAAAGCCATTACTAAATCTGTTCTCTGCACAGCCCATGGGCATCCTCAGGGAACACAGGGTTGGCCTAGCACGTACACCCATAAACGTACTCAACGTGCCTCAGGCTCCAAAACCCAAATCCACACCCTCCCATTCTGCGCCACTCCTTAGTTTCGACGTTCTCTTTCTTTGTTTCACCATTAGCAGTCAAACTTCTTGAAAGAGCAGTCTACACACATCATGAACACACTCCCGGGCTCCTGGAGTCACTTCCACTTGCCTCTAAAATGCTTCCCACAGGCCACTGGCCATCTCCTATTTGCCAGATCGAATGGCTATTCAGTCCTGCTCCAGGTCTTCTCTTCCCAAGGCTTCTGCAACAGTCCATCCTTCTCTGAGCTTCATTTTAGCTTCTCGTTCTTCCTTTTCAGTTTCCTTCACCGACTCTTTATCCTCAGTTCCTTAAATATTGGCTTTCTCTACAGTTCTGACATTGGTCTTGTTTTCCTCATTCTTTATATGTTTAGTGG